TAAAGCGGACGCAACAATAGACAAAACAAAAGACAAAACGTATATTGTAATGTATATTGTAATATGTACAAGAATAAGAAATTTAGCAAGAAATAATATGACGAGCATATAGACAAACTAAAACATTAAAAACCAACATTTTGAATTATACGCTAAAGCTCTGAAACATTAATTTAAAATCATGATAATCATCGATATCAGTCAAGCTTCTCCAACTTCCATATTTCCAGTTTAGACTCTCGTAAGATTAATCGTTCTTTATACGAAGACTAATGCTACAACCGCAAAAACAAATTCAGGAGCACGTCATAATAAGATAATCGCACGCATTCTGAGCTGCTCACTCAGAAATTCATGGTATCCTATGTCTAATTAAATATTCTATACATGAGTGAGTAAGCCAATAAGCGTCGTCGTAATTCAACTAATTGTAAGATAAAATAACTTACGAAAACAAAGGACAAAATTAGAAGCTAAGCTTTTTGAAAAAATTTTAGAAGTAGATAAATTTTCTTTCATTCAAAAAAACGTTAAAGAGACAAAAAAAATAAAAGTAAGATAAAAGTCACATAAAAATTTCATTGAGTCGAAATATTCATTAAGAATGAATCGTTGTATCGACAAACAAGTAACAATATTCCATCGATCCTTTAATGTATCTTGTCCCCTTATGAAGAAAAGACAATAACGTACACGCGATATCGACGATTTTCTCAACGGCGGACAGAAATCGACAGGAGCCATTTCTATTCAAAGCTATCTGCAAAACCACGAGGAGGAACGTCACGCCGTGACGAAGCTATAATTCAATTTGTTTCGCACACATGCGAGAAGCAGGAGACAAAGAGTGAGACGACATTGAATTGAATCTGCATGCGATAATCCACGTTGATCTGTCTAATATTCTCTTCTTGCGAAAGAAAACGCGATACGAATAGAAATCTTTCCCGAGAAGTAGCGAGCCGAGGGAGATGCCAAGGGCGTTACACGTCATGACAGGAAATTGCGTTCGCATCGGAGCTTTTGAGCTCCACTTCACTCCACCTCATTAATAGCAATGGAGAAACGTTGTTTGAAAATAGGAACGTAGTACACCGTGCCCATATTCTGTCCGCCAGTCCAGAAAGGATGGGCGCAATCTCATGTTAACTCTGTTTCAACAGTTAAGCAAACAAACCGACACTCCTTGGCCGCCTATAAGTTATGCGAGTTACATTTCGTAATCAAATTTCAGCTTGTTGTGGATAATATACAGATACAACAGACTTTACACAACAATTAATTTTAATGGAAGTTGTATATACATATAAATTCATTCGACGAAAACTGTCGGAAAGAGAATCTAAAACAGGAATGACCCTTCTGATATATCGCTTTAAAATATTCTGATCATCGACTTCATCGAGCCCCTCATCGAATCCAGCTCATGTATACATGAGCGTGATTTTAAGTAAAATTAATCGCGCTTTTTAAAGATACTTTTGATATCACATACGGAGGAAAATGGATTTCTTCAAGAGATACTTTTTTAAATATATGTTTAAAATATATATTTAAATATATATTTCGCTACTTTACTTTGATATGGAAAAAAAAATAAATATTTTTATAAAATCTTATTTTGCTAATAAATCGTTTGCATTTATGAATTTATATATAGTAAGATAACTAAATAAAATATTAAATATTATTCTTTAAATCAAATAAACTATATTTACAACTATATTAGCTCAAAAATTAGTTTTTTGAGTATGCAATAAAATGTTGTCCTTTCAGGTATTTGTCGTACAACATGTGGATGTTTGTATGTTCAGCAATGGCAAATTCAAAAACGTTGTGGCTCTTATGTCCTCGCAAGAGGACTGTCCCTTGGGTCCAGGTGGGAATTTGAGGAAAACTTATTCTCTCAAGCTTGTTAAGGGCACGACTAAGAATTGGATCGCTTTAGAGGACAGTTATACGAAAACTGGAGCGAGCCTGGCATCAACGGTCGCTAATCCCAGGAATGGACCTGACGATAGGAACGTTTATACAATTTACGTATCTTATTATGTGAAGGTAATTTTAAATATGAGAAAATAGAAAACGTAATAAAGCTCGTTAAATGTATTCATCGAAGAAAATAAAATAATTGTTATCTAAATGTAGAAAAGGGATAAAAAAATCTTATATTCTCTAAAACAAGTTTTAGAGAAAATGTTGAAGCATGATATATATATATATCGAATATTTAATTTCAGATAAAAACAAAGAAGATAGATAAAACATAATTTATATATCTTGATTCTTGATAGCAGATATTCATATTTAACGCAATAAAATAATACTATTTTAAGGAAAAATAAAACATCTTTTTCATGCATTTAATTTAAGAAAACTGACTCGTGTACTGTGTAATCCAATTATAATATGAGATTACAATATAAAAAAGTATTTTATATTTTATGAGAATTTGCAAGTGTAATTTTCTTTCAAGGTCAAACTGCTGATCTCAGCCATGGGCGGCGAAGTATCTTTGAAGCTGCCGTTCACACTGATGCACAGTAACGTAGATACGGATCTTGTGGGATTTCCGTCCCCCATTCGAGAGGCGCCGAAGGAATTTGGAAAGAGCACGAATGAAATCACGGAGAAATCCGATAGCAGTGCCCATCGAAATAAGGAGAATAAATTAGAGGCCATTAAGGAGCAGAGGGAATCAAAGGTGACCGACGTGGATCTGATAGAGCATTGCGAGGAGAGTGACAGTACCTGAGACCGGGCGCAACAAGGCGACGCGATGTCGCGACCGCCTGTCAGGAAGAACAGTGACGGTACGAAGACCATCAAAAATACGAATCACAAAACCTGCAGAATCAGCGTCAGCATCCAACGAGCCTGGTGCTGCTTCAGAAGAGCCTCGTAGTAAACGAATGGAAATTTTGCTCGGTGCATCGATAATGATCGACTGAAAGCAGTTTTATTTACACTGTCGTTGTGACTCTTCCTATTTTCTCGGAAGACAGAAATATGGATGTTTCGTATATCCGTAATGAATAAAAGAAAAGAAGATAAAATAAAATGTATAGTGAATAAATGAATAAATAATATGTATAGTGAATCTTGTCAATTCTTGTTAGAATCGTTGAATGTACGTGTAAATGTGAATCCTGTATTCTTTTTCTTTCTTTTGGAAGAAATAAAGTTTGGAAAAAGTGAAGAAAATTCGAAAGTTATCAAATTATATGCGATATCTTGAAGGAGCAAAACTTATTGCGCTTTATATTTCGCAGGGAAAATTTTACAGAAGAGCGATTTAATTCTCAAGCGATTGTATCTTCGTGCAAGTTCAAAAATTGTGCATCGTGCATTTGTATCGTATTGTCGTACAATTCATAGCAGATTTTTGATCGTTATAGAGGAGGAATCAAATGAGTGTTATCGTTGTAATCAAGTGTGTGAAGTTGCAAGCTATTAATGTATGCAAGTATTAATGTATGTATCATATGTATAAGTTATAGTTATATAGAGTTTTCTCAGCGTGAAAGAAGTTCGATTGAAAAATTATGATTTATTATCGCAGATTTTCCATCTAAAACTTTTATTGTGTAAAAGAGAAAAATCTCCTAAGAGATATATATTCCTGTATATTTACATACATACCGTTGAATAATAGTAAGATGATATACATGTAATATATTCTTATAAGCTACGAAAATTATATTGCCTATTATCTGAAGCCTCGTAAATGTAAGTCGCTTGAAATTATTTGTGTTTACATCTTCCTACTCATTTATATATATAAAAAAAATTTCCTACTGCCATTTTAATCGCTTGTAATCAGATTCTGCGTTCATTAATTTCGGAAACGGACAAAAGAATAGATACATTTTTTTATTCTTATATACAAAATATGAACTTATCTCTATACGAATTTATCTCTATATGAACTTATCTTATATCAATTACGCAAAGTAATATATCGAATTAAAAATAATATCAAAGATATTTTTTCAAAGAGATAAATATCTATTTTTTATTATGTAACAAAACACAATCAACAAATTATCACACTATCACTAGATAAAATTTGAATTATATATCTCTTAATAATTATGAATTGAATTATCTCTTAAGATCCCTAAAGCCTTAAGCAAGAATTTTAATGAAATTGTAATTTCGATCTTATAATCGTGACCAACGTTAAATATTTTAAATATTTTAGCAATTAAGCCTCAAATAAAATATAAAAATGAAAATATATACTGGATAATACGCGTATTGACAAAATGAAAGTATATTTAAATTCAACTGAAAGACTTAACCGTCTATATATATATATATATTTGTAGCTTTATTTTTACAAAAAACATTTTAATTTTGATATAAACTTCAAATCACATTTAATAATCTCATTTAATAATAATAGTAAAACTTTTTGCACAATTATATTCTTTTGTCTAAGCATCATATCAAATGACCAATCATATAAAAAGAATTATAAGCCTACGTGATTAACAACAAAAGTAAATCATCATAATCATTTCCAAAATGGTATCAACATTTATGTCAAATAATATTTCAATCGCTTCTCTATCCACAAAATATGTAAAGATGTACAGATTGTATCTTTAGCATTGTAAATAATAAATATATATATGGATTTATATAATGAATATAAACACATCAACATACACACATATTCTCTCTCCCTTTCTTTTTAATAGTATTTAAACTTATCTACCACATCTTATCTATGATAAAATATTTTTAAAAGTATAAAAACGTAGGTAAAAATCTATATTTTATAATTTAAATAATATTATGATTTTCATAGATATATTTTTTATTTTAACACAAATTAGAGACATACACGGGCAATCCTTAAATAATTTTAAAACGCGATATCATCAATATGCAGCATTAAATATTAAAAATTTCAACATAACATTCAATAGAAATAAGAAAAAATCAATCAATTGATAGATGTTCAATAGATATAACGTTGCTTTATTTAAAAAAAATCGATTAATTTCATGACGTTTTCAGATTTAATTAATAACATATATCCCTAAATTTTTGTTTTATGTTATTAGATTTTATTATTGGATTTCATTAAAGATATAACAAGCTTATAAAAAAACTTATTCTTTTATTATGAAAAACAACTTCAATTCCTATATATCAAACTTAATTCTGTATTGCTAATTCTGCATATTTAATTCCTTACTTTTATTTATTTTGAACTTTTAGGAAAATTTTGATTAAACTTGTTTAATAATTAAAGAAATATCCATAATATTTTATTAACATAAAAGTATAAATTTTTTAGAGATTAATATATAAAAAAATAGATTAAAAATGCCAAATTATTATAATTAGACATGTTGCAAGTCAAATTAATTTAATTAATTAGCTATTTAAGTTAATTAACTTTTAGTTGTACTTCACCCTTGAACTTTGTTAGTTTAAAAATTTATAGCTAAATTCTATAGCTGTTAAGTATCTGTAAAAGAAAAAATGAATCGATTATCATCCATAGTTTCAAGATATCTTTTTAAATCAATTATTTGGATGTCGATTTACTTTTTCAATATTGCTGGCATTTAATATCTATTTGTTACATATAATATCTTATATAAGATAGAGATAAATATAATGCGAATGCACATATTACAAACTCACCATGCCATTGAGCTCTCGCATATCCTCTGACAATTTTCTTGCTAGCTTTGCTGACATCGTCCTGCACGTTGATCAAGATGTATTTGAATCTTCCGTGACCATCGATGTCCACATCCTGTATTTTATCCAATAACTGGGACATTGTGGCAAATCGACGTATACCTGTAACAAGATATGAAAGCAATAATAAACAAAATTGCATGCAACATAACCTGTAATCCGTGAACCGTCTCTATTTATATCTGTGTACCACACCATATTGATAATAACATTCTTGCCATTATTAATTAAAATAATGAGAAACAACGTATCTCAAGTTGCTTCTACTTTAATTTCGTGATTTCACATGTCGCTCGTTATAATCACTATTAAATACCTTTCGGAGCAACTTGCCGGCTGCTCACTATCGCTAAACCGAACTTTAAAATTGCAGCCATGAGCACGCATTCTGTTTATCAAACGCGTGATTGGTTAACTTCCCGTTCATACGTTGCGCCATTCATAAATTTTTTTGAATAAACCTTAGCCTGGATCCTCAGTGTCGGTCCACAATAGCTGATTTAAGCTTTAAGAAGAAAGAAATTGACCAATTATAATCGAATATGAAAAGAATAATCGATTATGATTGATCAATTTCTTACGGTTAAAGATTAAATACTTATTGTGGACCGACACTCATGCAGACACCAGCGCTTTTACACAGATGCTAATTGGTGAAAAATGAGTAGTGGAGATAAAACGGCGAATGAATCTTTACTATTTACCCCCATTTATCCGTTTTTCATCAATCAGCGCTCGGTGTCAAAGCGGTGTCATGTCTGCATGAGGATCTAGGCTTAAGGATTGGCAAAAGAGATAGTAAAGACCTCTTAGATGAATTCTTGTTCACTCATAAACGACTAAAATATTGAAAAATTTGCAAAATAATTGATATTTAATCAGGAGAGTTATCTGCAGTCCTTTCCTTAATTCCTTAATTTCCTTACTTTTATAATTTTCATCTTATTTTAAGATATATTATATTAGGTTGCAAAATTTTTATATAAAACAAATATTGACACAAGTTGGCACGAGATGACACAATTCTAAATGCCATATTAAAATAACAAATGATAAAAAAAGCAGAGAAGCCTGAGAGCGGACATGTTGCATCTCGTTGCGCAGCTGAAAAGAACAAACCTGTTTCCCGCCAAGCGATGAGGCTCATCTTGCTTCTCATTCGCCAACGTCGTGCGCGGATTGCGCGGCCAAATTGAAGCAATATGGCGGACTGACACAACAATTTTTAATGCGCGATATATAGATTGTTTTAATTGCCAAGGCACATTTATTCAGATGACAGATTGTATTAAGCGTCCAGCATCAGAGAAACTCGCTGGCATATATCTTGTCTGGCACGAGTGTTGATCAGTGATAACTTTAGTTCCGTCAAGTTTAGACTGCTTGGCCTTGGTTGTGGTGGCGGCCCGCGACACCGAAATTTATGCCTGTACAGGCTACGAATATGATCCCAATCGTCCGATCGCGTTAATTGACCTCCGTGGCGATTCTAGTGCCGATCGCTGCTTTTAATTTCGCAACGGAAGATGTCTACACCGAATAAAGTGCGAGGTATACGAAAATGTTTGTGAAAATAATCTTAGAGATTTAAATGTTGATCGGTTCGTATTTCGTGTTCCGACGCGCTTTTATCGTCGCCTTGTGTTGCTATCGTTCATTCACAACAAATACTATCGTTTTTAAGTGAACGAATGTTTCAAATATATTCATCGTTGCAGGTCCAGGGCGCCCGCCAAAATCGAAGAATACTGCTTGTACGTGGTGTGGAGAGACAAAACAACCGTTGAAGTATGTTCTTCCCACACAGAACGGCAAGAAAGAATTCTGCTCAGAGACGTGTCTATCTGAATCTCGCAAAACTTACGTACGAGGTGCTTGTATACAATGTGAAAATGTTATCAGGGGTACACCTTATAGGTTGGAACAAAAGGATGGTCCAACAAAGGATTTCTGTTCTTCATTCTGTCTGAATGCATATCAGAAAAAAGAGACGCAATCAGACACAAAAAAAAGTAATCATTGTGTATTGTGTAAGTTTGTATATACTAAGTTTCATAACAATTTAAATATATATGAAATTTATAGATAACAGGGATCCGTCGTCACCGTCTCCTGCCCCGTCTCCTGCTCCATCTGGATTACCAAGCAATAATAATGTCCCATCTACAACACAATCTTATATAAATACAAATAACCATACAACTGTATCTCATTCACCATCAACATCTACTGGACCATTTCAATATGAAACTTATCAAACTTTTGACTGGGATCTTTATTTAAAGGAAACAAATAGTACAGCAGCGCCAGTCGAATGCTTTAAACAGGTATAGCTTAACAAAAAATAAAATTGCTTTAGTATATAGTTGCATGATTATTAATTTTAAGTATAATTTACTTATAATATAATAGTATAATTTACTTATAATAGTATAATTTGAATTAGTATAAAGAAATAAAAATTATACATTTTAATTTTAATTTAAAAAATTTTAATCTTTAATATATAATAAAAATATTAAAATATTAATATTATAAAAACTTAATTTTATGATTAACACTTTATTTGTAGATATTTGAAACAAATGATTTTGACATTATTTCAATCTTAAATAATATTAAAAAATATAATTTTACTCGCTCCATTATGGCTTTTTTTAAATAATAATATTTAACAAAATGGTAGATATCTAAAATTGAGATTACGATTTTTTAACAAAAATTTTTGTCCTTTTTTTGATCATATAAAAACAGTTTAAAATATTGATAAAAGTCATGATAATCAATATATTTTAAAATGTGTTGTTAAAATTTGAAGACAATTGATTCAATAGTGAAAAATCATGTCAACTAAAAGTCAACTAAGATCAAAGGAAATTCAATAAAAACATTTAAAGTTTTAAGTTTAAATATTTTTTTAACAAAAAATACTAAAGATATATTCTTTAATAGTTGAATTTACAAATAAAATTTTTAAAAAGTGATTTTTTACTGATCACTTTAATCTACTCGTTTAATTTTATTTTAGCATATCAATACTTATAGCAAGAAGCCAAACTTATATTGTACATTACATATTTACATTTCAGCATGAAAATCCACCAATAAATGAATTTAAAATCAATATGAAATTAGAAGCACTAGATCCAAGAAACTTGACGTCAACTTGTATTGCTACAGTAGTAGGTGTTCTTGGACCACGATTGAGATTAAGATTAGACGGCTCTGATAACAAAAATGATTTTTGGCGGTTGGTTGATAGTAATGAGATACATCCTATAGGCCATTGTGAGAAATCCGGTGGGATGCTTCAGCCGCCATTAGGTTTCCGAATGAATGCATCCAGTTGGCCAATGTTCCTTCTAAAAACTTTAAATGGTGCCGAAATGGCACCAGCAAAAGTATTCAAGCGCGAACCAAAGACGCCACGCTCTAATTTATTTGAAGTCGGGCATAAGTTAGAAGCAATTGATAAGAAGAATCCTCAACTTATATGCACTGCAACCGTTGGCGCAGTTAAGGATGATATGATACATATTACATTTGATGGCTGGCGAGGTGCTTTCGACTATTGGTGTCGTTATGACTCTCGAGATATTTTCCCTGCTGGATGGTGCTTTAAAAGTGGACATCCATTGCAGCCACCAAGACAAAAATGTACGTGAATAATATTTTATAAATTTCTAAAATAATATAAAAAAACAAATTTATGTATGTATAGTTATTTTAATAATTTTTGAAATTTTTGTTTACATGTAGCGACTGGTCCTAACAAGTTTAAATCTAGAGCTACTAGTAATGTTCTATTAGTAATGGCAGTCTCAGGAAGCAATACTAGCAGAGAACCAGCAGTTGCATTAGTGAGTCCTGCGGGCTCTAATGCACCACCACAGCCAGCTACAGAACCTGATACTAGCACAGCTAATACAAAGCCGCATACGCTTGAAAATGGTTGGTAAATTATAAATCTATAATATATCAATCATGTTTGATATGCTATACTTTTTTATAAGACATAATAAACTTTATAATTCGGATATATATTACAGTTACACTTTATGTCAATCACAAATGTTACTGTGGGCCATATTTTGATCTTCGAAAAGTGAAAGCTATGCCAGCACAGTTTGGTATGGGTCCTATGATAAATGTTGCAAGAGATATCTTTCAAGCATTTCTAATGGCTGCCATGAATCCTAGACAAATGTTAAGTTTATTGAGAAATGGCGAAGGAGAAACTATAAATCTAAGTATGGGTACTCTGAAAAAACCTGCTGCCGTTAGATTACCCGTTTTTCTAGAAGAGGAAGACTTTTATACATATATTAAACAACAACTCGAAGACCTCCGTGCATGTGAATACATGTTAACTAGAAGAAAAGAACCTTGCAACAAATGTCCTAATACACCAACTCTGCAGCAAGCACAATCCACTAATAATGAAGAAACGAATAATGCAAGTATTGGAGATAAACGAAGATGGTCATCGGAAAATCAACAAAATTTAACATCTACCCAACAACAACAAGTACAGCAGACTACTGTGCAAAGTACAAATAATTCTGTAACAGAATCTTCTGTTACACCTTCAAAGCAACCTCGCAAGTCTGTCCCTGGTAAATATCTTGTTTTTCTATAAAATTTTATTGTACGCGATAATAAATTGCGAACTATAAAAATATTTATCATTACAAATAATTATCTCTTTGTTCGAAAACTTTGTTAAAAATAATATATAAAAGAATTTTGCGCTATTTCAAGAGTTTGAATATATACTAATTAATTTGTACTAAATATTCTCGTAAAAAAATAATATAGCTAATTAAAAACATATTTGCATATAGAATTAGAAGCAGCGACATCTACTACTCAATCTGAAACTTCTGCAAATCGGGTCCCTTCCACCGAGCCTGGAGAATGGACCATTGAAGATGTGATACATTATATTGCCATTACAGATCCAGCATTAGGACGATATGCGGACTTGTTTAGGAAACATGTGAGTTTAATAAAATAAGCATTTTATTATATATATGTATTTATTATATTTTATCATAAAATTAATAATTTTTGTAGGAAATTGACGGCAAGGCTCTACTTCTTCTCAATAGTGACATGATGATGAAGTATATGGGATTAAAACTCGGGCCAGCACTTAAAATTTGCAATTTAGTAAATCGTATTAAAGGTAGAAGACATTTCCTTATGTGATTTTCCCAGATATAGATAACATAACTTGTATAGTAATTTGACCATATGCATTTTGTGCATTTTGACCGATGGAAGAAAAATTCAAATTTCTGTTTTCAATGAACATTCAAAACAAATTAATATATATATAGGTTGTTATAAACTAATGTGAATACCTATTTACAATTGATTCTATTCTCTGAATTATATTCATATATTCATAATTTTAAAGGAGTGTATAAAATTGGGAAAATTCAATCACTCAATGACAAATCAATCGTCATGAACTTGACAAATAGTATGAAGTAAAATATAAAGAAATTTAGCCAAAATTGGATGGTTAAATGAGTAGATCTTGATCAAAAACCAGAAAATCATTTGGGCCACTCACAAACAACGTTCTTTTACCAAAGTGAGATTGTATGAATGACAAATGGGCATTGCCACATGGTCCACCGGACTTATTTTTTGATTTTTGATCAGAATTTCACTCATTTAGCCATTCGATTTTGATTAGGTTTCTTCATATTTTATCTCATATTATGTCTGTCAAATTTCCTGATGATTATTTTGTACTACAAAATTTCCTGATGATTGTTTTGTACTACAAAATTTTCTCAATTTTGCATATTTCTTAGATAAAGTAAAATCAAAGTTAAGCTCTTTGAATTTATCAAGACATTGTTTTATTGTAGAAAAGTATAAATTTGCATTAATTAGTTGTAAACGCAATTATTTTTGTTAATAAATTTACCATTGCCCTATAAGTATTACATTAGCCTAACTCAATATATTAAATAAGGAGTAATAAGTATATTAAATCTAATATAGTTCTTATATATATGCTCACAAAAAATAATGACATTTCATATCTGTACATATGTAATGGTATACTTTATTTTGCGGTATCAAAATCATGAAATACATATATTGTAAACGAGATATTTGTTTTGTGATATTTTCGAATAATTATTCATGATATCACATAGATTAAAATATCTTTTTGTAATATTTCTATGGAATATACTATTTTCGTTAATCTGATAACATTACTATAAATATATTTTTTTGTATATGATGTTCTAACAACTTAATAATTTGAAAAGTTCATAGAATTAGATTAATCCTTTCCATAAAATATAATTATAAATTATAGACATTTTTGTTATAAACGAATTTAATGTTATTTAGATATAATTGTATGATCTACATTCAAAAAAGTTGATAATTACAATATGTTTTATATTAAATGCTTTTGTAATATATGGTTCTTTTTTATTATAATACCAAAATTTTCTTTCTTTGTTATGTAAGAATGTTATGTAAAATACAAATATTTCGGAACATCTTGAAAATATAAAATTAATTTAGTTTTTGATTCTTATTGCATTACTGTGATATTCTCAATAACTTGTAAAGTAATTTCTCATTTTGCAATATATAGATATATAAATATGACAATTTGTACATAATACATGGAATTTCTATCTTTTCACTTGTTCATTAATTCTATAAATTTATTATTATTTTGCTTTCTATTATAAAATTCAAAGTGTCATATTGTTTTTGACTTGTATAAAATTGTTCTTGTGAATATATAACAAGATTAAACATTTATATGATTTAGATTATTTTATAGTGTTCCAAACATACAAATTTATTTTAATGTAAAATCAATTTTTCCTTCTTCTTTTTTATATCCTATGTGTATAACAAAGTATCTACTCCTTTGATAAACCTGAAAAATTTGAAATTTTTCAGAGAATTTCTTTTTTTCTTGAAAATCAAAGAATTTCATAAAATTTTAAATCAGAATTTTTTTAAATTAAAAAAAATTTTTTTAATTTAAATTTTACTTCTCTTAGAAAAATTTGATCTATCAACAAATTTTTGATTTGTGCTTTTTGTTTTTATGTAAACTATTATACATATGCTTTCTATAAAATTTCTGAAAATTGTATACTCTCATGTTGAGTTAACCTACACTAATATAAATTAAACTAGAACATTAATATCTAAACATTAAACAATTTTTCTTGGTGATTAAAAAAAATATTAAAAAATGCGTACAATAAAAAAAATATATCTCAAAGCTGCTTTTAAAAGTTTCTTAATTTTTGGAATTTTGAACAAATTGAAAAATTTTACAAGCAGTTGTTCAAAATCAAAGTAGACATTCTGTGTAACAATCCCTTTTTCTTTTTAGAGTACACTAATACATGTATTATTCAATAAAATAATTTATATATTTTAATATTAGACATATAATTTTTTGTTAAAAGTATGTACTTTATTTCAAATTACATAAATATCATACGAACATTGTCCTCCAATTGCCTATGATCTTCTAGTTCAATATTATTAATAAGATATTTTAATATTAAAATAATTTAGAATGTTTCAATAATAGATGATGACTATATTATGCTCAAAGAATATAATAATTATATAAAATTATATGAAAATATCAAAATATAAAACCTAACTTTATTTAAAAAAAATATTCTAACAAATGAGAATATACAACATGATATTCCAATTTAATAAACAAGAAAAATACCAATATGCACTTTTATATCCAGATAAAATCTCAATCATCATCAGAGTCATCTGAGTTGCGCCCTTTGATGGTCTTTGGTTTCGAAGGTTTAAATATAAATGGCTTTTTGCCAATTTCTGAAGACTGTAAATCATCATCATCATAATTAATCACGCCAGATTGCGCAAGACGACGTTGTAATGTTTCCGTGGAGAAATCATCACAGTTTCCTAAGTCAGTAAAGCCTACAATATAATCCTTGGTTTTGCTGTTCACAATTAGCGCAATTGTAGGTATAATTTTGATCCGTAATCGTTCTATAATATATAAATACATATTATTAACACATATATCATTATCATAATATATTTTAAAAAGGTATATATTGGTAATACCAGTTAAAAATGGACATCTTTCGACATTTAATTTGCAGAATCTTGCCTCAATGTGTTTTTTTTGCAAGAATCTTGAAATGATGATCCACAATTTTACATCGTGGAGAATCATCTTTGTAAAATAAGCAAACTATATTTTCTGATTTTTTAGATATTTCAAAGAACTCTTTCTCATCATATATCTCTGAATATTCTCCATGACCCTAATATAGATAACAATATATAACTGTTATATACATGTTATACTTTAAGACAGAAATTTATATATACATTTCTATAACACAACATTTAGAATTTTGTGATTAAATAATTAAATAAATATGCTGCAAGATATTACCAAAACCAGCCAATCCTGCTTTTGTTTTTGCATCCGCTTGAGCTCATTCAATCTGTGTGCACGTATTTTTTCGTAATCATTGATATCCAAATTATCTAGTTTTTCTAATTCTGCATCTAACTGTTGCTCCATATGATTAGCAACCTCTATAACTTTTTGTTGAAGTACAGTCTCCATTATGCTACCAAAAGAGTAGAGATATTAGTAAATATATTATAAACAGATCATTTATTTTTTCAATGTATAATATAAACAAAATATAATATAAAATAAGTCTCTCGCAAAAATGTTAACACATTAATACAAAATAAATATAACAGAATGTCAACAAATTTGTTAACATTATAATTCATACTTTTAAAACTCAGTGAGTTCAGTTTAAATGAAAATTTTGCTTCTTAATTTAATACTTGATCAGATAACTTGATTTTTAAGCTTGTTTTAATTCACACTTCAAAAGGCACTTTTTAACCATATATAGAAATATCTTCGCTAAAAGAATGGATGACAGCATGACACAACTCATAGCGTAATTCTCTTAAGTTTGTCGATCAAAATGAATCGCGCATGCGCAAAGTAAGTAAAACCTACAGCATAAAGCCAGCGACAAACGATGCTTTCTTTCCTGCTGATTTGCTAGCTGGATTTGCGTGCTCGTGAGTTCTTGTCTCTGATTGGTATATTCTTTTGGATCTAAAAAAATATACCAATCAAAGATAAGAATTCAGCAAACACGTAAATTCAGCTAACAAACCAGCAGAAAAAAAGCATCGTGTGCCGCTGGTTTAAGATAGCATCCCCGATTGTCCATCAATTGGTCAATTAAGTATTAGATCTTCTGATTGGTAGTTCTGATTGGTAGGTATTTCTGATTCTCCATTGGAAAATTCCTATGACTGAATCCTTCCAGATATACTTGCAGAATAACTTTTGTTTCGATAATATCTATTTGTTTTTGGAACGTCTTGATATACACACCCGTGAATATTTAATATTTACTATTAGAATAAATTTATTATTTATAAAAAATAATTCTAGATTTTCATTTCGTGAAGAAAAATATATATACATGGATATGATATTGATAAATATATAAATATATGAATGAATAAGAAAACTCAATATTTCAATTTTTTAAACAATTTCTTTCAAATAAATTATAAATTTTTATAAAATATGTTCAATTTTTAATAACACATTGTGTTCTAAATTTGTGAAATATTTGTTTCATTGGACTGTTTTTTCATTTTTAAAACTTTATGTATTACAATACATAATTGTAATTAATTTATAATTAAAATACATATAACTTAAATTATTATAATTATCATTAGGATTTAATATTAATAAGATCAATGAATATTTAAGAGATTAATAAAAATTAAATTATTGATTTAAATAGTTTATTAAAACTTCATCAGGCAGTAAATTTTACAGAGATTTCATTATTTTATAAGTTCACGTTGATTCTTTCTCAATATTACGCAAATGATAACATTCCATTTATTAAAAAATATAGAATTAAAAACCTAAATACAAGCTGTGCATCAGAAAAACAAAAGATCTATAAAAATTTTAAATACAAAATGGCAAAGAAATTAAAATACCATATTTATATCAATATTTATGATAGTATATTAATTAATAGAAATTTTGTATTACATAGACATCATTATCATAGAAATTTATCTTAGAAGACATCATTATCTTAGAAATTTTAATCCAATATGTTGTAAAATAATATGCGAAAGACATTACAGTAAAAATAAAAATTCACTGAAAGTCAAATTCAAATGTATATAAAAAGAATGAAAATATGATCTTTTCTAAAAATTCTTTTTATATATTTATAAATCAAAATATTAGCAAAAATAAATTTAAATAAAGCACAATTAATGTAGGCCTTGATAAAAATTTAAATTTTACTATTAATATAATAATAAAACGATAATATTCACGATTGTTCACTGCAGCATTTTCTACTTTTAATCAATTTCATGAATTAAAAATTTTTATTAAAAGAGCAGGGAAAAGAAGAGAAAAACAGGAGATTCATAGAAAAATCAACATATAAAATATTTCATATTTATGCTAATTATGTGGTAAAAAAAAAAACCTATAAAAGCTGCCAGAAATATGCAATAATCACTGATAACTTTTCTAATTACTGATAACAATAAACACATCAGTTATTGATATATTATATTAATACTATAATATATATTTGTTAAAAGTTATTAATTTTTTATAAAGATTTCATGATTTTTTTTTTTTTATATAAATAAATGTGTGATTATATATCTTATATGAATGACTATACTTAACTGAATTATTATAACTGTATATATTTAAACTTGAAAATATATGTGCATATATAAGTTTTATAAAAGCAATTGTTATTTTTTTAAGTAGTTCTCAATTCACTATTATTTAAAAAATATTTCATTTGAAAAGATAATAAAAAAAAAAAATTGCAAATAAAAATCTATAATATTTTCATATATAATAAATACATGTATGAATAGTCTTATAATGTTAAATTGTCTTAAAATCTTAAAGAACATAAATGCTATTTTTTTCTAATTGTTAAAAATTAGATACTTTAACATTTTCTTCTTTTATTATATGAAACATAAATTATTTAAAATATAATATCAAATATTATTAACTTTTCCTTTAATAAAAAAAATTCATACAAATACTTCGATTTATAAGCCTTTGTTGCAGTCTCAAATGTTTGGTAAATAAACACATGCAAAAAGTAGACGCTTTGTATTCAAAAGAATCGTTTAAGAATTGTTCCAGAATGCATGCAGCTACCATCCAATAAACTTGCTAATTTATTAAATGTAACTCATGATCTTAAACAGAAAATCCTTCTAACATGCTTATATTTTCTCATTGCTTCAACGAGAGGATTAAGCCCTGAGAATATCCGACAGCAGGAACACCCGCACAAGATCCTAAGCTTTTATTAAATAATGCCTGAGGTATCCATTCTCAGATTTTCAATATGTATTTGTGAATAAGAAAATGTTTACAGATAATCTAAAATTTTCTTTCACTGAAACTTTTAAACATGTACAAGAGACGACAGACACCAGACATTTCTTTTTGATCACTTCCTCTGTTGATCCTTACTACTTATTCATATTTTTAGATGCAAGATAATATCATATCGCATCGGCACAGGAATGACTTTGGGAGTATACCACTAAGAGTTAGTCGCAATTAATTTCATATTTGTGGAATATTTACAAACAAATTAATATCCTCTAATCAGCCTTGCGTGGCTTACGCTTGCGAACATTAGGACTACTGGTGTCAGCTTTAGTATCTTTATCTTTCTCACTTGCTTCAACTTCCTTTGCCTCAGATTCCTTTGTCTCAGATTCCTTTGCCTCGGATTCCTTTGCCTCGGATTCCTTTGCCTCGGATTCCTTTGCCTCGGATTCCTTTGCCTCAGATTCCTCTACTTCAGATTCTTCTTCATCTACTAAATCATCTCCAATATTTTCTGCAATTTCATCTTCATCTGAACTTTTCTCCTGAGTAGTGCCATCTGTTGTGCCAGTTTGTTTCTTTTTGCTATGTTGCTGAATAGATTTTGGTGGATAGATGAAGTCGATCAAACACACAATAAACTATAATTACAAATGTAATTAATATCTCCTATTTACCAATAATATGAATTTTATATATTGTATGAAATCTATTGTTTACCAGTCCTAATATTGTGCCCAAAACAATGGTTGCAAGAGCAAAAATTGCATAACTACCCCATAAAGGTAATCCAACATCTTCCAAAAGCTTGTTGTGAATATTCTGATAAAAACAATGTTGCATTAAAATTTGTGCGATAACTTCATAGCGTGTAAAAAATATACTTTTTACATGCTATACATTTATACTTACTCGTAATATTTGAGATAATTTGAAAAATTGACTTAAAATTGACATGTGGTACGAAGTTGGACTTTTCCAGCTAGGTATCGGATCTACTTTTGTCCATGTCTTCTTGGACACAAATTCAATCAATGCAGATTTCTCCCTTGGACTTTTATATTGTCTGAATATTCCATTATGTACACTAAAAATAAAAACATAAATTCTAAAATATATAAAAATTATAATTAAAGTTAAGTATAATTTCTTTAATTTCTAAAATATCAGAAAATAATTATATACACAACATCAAAATAATATGAATGGTAAACCTACTGATATATCGTAGGTAAAGCTGTAACCATAAATCTTCCACTAAGACCTGGAGAATCTGTTACATCTATTTTACCAACGTTGATATTCAGATCTTTCTTCGACAAGGCAAGATTCTCCCAGATTGGTTCAAGTGCTTTACAGGCAGGACACCATGGTGCATAACTAATAAATGATACATTACAAAACATTATTATATATATCATGTCACAGATTTAAATATAAATACATATTAAAAAAAGTTAAAAACGTAATAACATAAAATAATGTATAAAATATAATAAATTTGATTTAGGTATACAAGCTCTCAGTATTGACTTTAAGAAATATAAATATCTCGTTAAGCGAATTTAACTGCGTGACTCGGTATTCCACGGTTTCTGAAAAAATCTAATATTCATCAGTGACACACGTAAAATTTGGACAGTTTTTGACACGCCATCAACCACGATGTCGGCATGCACAGTCACACTTACAACTCAACCATCCACTCTCCCGTAAGCATAAGATCCCAGTTATCCTCGTTTAACTGCTCCACCTGACTGCCTTTAGTTTGCCGTTGTGCGTCAGTGTTTGCGTTCGCGTACGCGAATAATAACGTGATGTAAACGATACAAAATACGGGACGCATCTTGGCGTGCAACGTCTCACTCTCGATGACTTTAACCAACACACACCGGCATCAAAATGCGCTTTGTACACGATGCCAACCTCCGAGTGGACACGAACGTAATCCCGACCGGCAAGCCGGCAACCACCGCGGATGACAAAATACGAATAGAATACACTCGAGTAATGCCTTGTGTCCACGATGCTAGAAATCGGTCCGAGATCTCCGGATGCAAAGAGAATTGACCAATCGCATTGGTTAATTGGCCGAATTATTCAAACGCAATTGGTCAATTCTCTTTCCATCCGAGATCTCGAATCGATTTCTAGCATCGTGGACGAGTGACACCTGTTTGACCACTAGCCATTCACAGCGCTTGAACAGTGGAAAAATTCTAGGCACCGGCCCCTGTGAGGAGCTAGTGGTCAATTGGGACGTGGTCAAACGGGTGTTACCCATCGTGGACACAAGGCATAAGCAATGTTTTGTTGAGTTTTGGAATATGTTTTGTAAGTCCCAGTCTGATTTAAAGTCTTAAGTCATAAGAAATTGACCAATCATAATCGACTATTTTTTTATTCTTCGACTATGATTCGTTCATTTCTTATGGCTTAAGTCTTAAATCATCTATTGTAGACTAGGACTATACTTACAATAAACATTTATACTATATACACTAGACCGCTAACTTCTTTGTTTACCATAGACATTTATACTATGCACTAGACCGCTAACTCCTCTATTTACTGAATTTGAAAGTTGACCCCAAAACTTATGTATTGCATAATGTGACGTAAGGGAGACAAATGATGTCACGTGAACGTGATCACGTGGTCACGCTAATGTAATATGGCTGATGCATTACAAGCATAGACATTTTTATTAAAGATTAAATATTTCCATTCTTCAAATTCTGCTTTAGAAATTTTTTTCATTTTGTATTAAATAAATTTTTTTACCTAAATCTGATTTTATATATATATATATATATAATTTGATTATACTACAATGAAGAGTGCAGTCAATGATGTTACAAATCATTAACATAAAGGCTCGTATTCGGAATCCTTCTTTTATCGATAAGAATATCTACTAAAAATGATTTAATAAGCCCTTTTGCTTGACTGAGAATGACTGCGTTCAGCAGAGAAGGCTGATCAGTGAACGTTCAGTGATTTCTTTATTATGATTGATTTCTATACTTACATTCAACGAAGATCTAAAGGTAAGGACCAATCACATTGAAAAATCACTGAGTGCTCACTGATCTGCTTTCTCTGCTGAACGCAGCCAATTACTTTTAGTGATAAAAAGGATTCGAAATATGGATCTTTATTTTGTTTCTTTTTTTCTAATGTAGAGAGAAAGAGAAAAAATAAACAATGAAAAAATTTAACTAAAAGGAACAGATTTATAAATGCTTCCCCTTCCCCTCGCGAAGGGGTCATTATGTATTTTGAAACGAGGTGAAAATCATAAAAGTGAATAAATTTATTCGCTTTTAATATATGAAGTTGCAGATATTCTGGTAAATTTCCACTTTTATAATTTCACCTTATTTCAAAATATATAATTGATCCCCTTCTGATAGTCCACTAGAAAATTCCTAAGCAGTAAACGATATGAGTGGATGGGACGTGTGCAATTGAACATGAAAACATGCTCCCTCCCAGTTAATGGTGAGAGGTTGCAATACTGAATGCATTCATTGATTATAGGTCATCTTTATCGAAGCCCATGTCCGTGAGCACGAGCACCTTGTAGTATCATCGGTTCGCGTCAGTTGTAATACGGTGTTCAGTGTTAAGTGGTAGTGAACATCTTGCGTTACACATGGAATGGAAAAGAACACCAGTTGACATGGTTGGCGAGCAACGGAAACGCTTGTACGATTCCATCGTGCGACAGACGAACGATGATTCGCAGCTGCAGCTGATAAATCTCCCTGATGTTTGCTTGGAAGCAATTTTATCAAATCTCACCTACGATGAGATTTCTAAATATAGGATTGTAAGAGCTCGCCCTTTAGCATTCGCGGGGATGGATATTCTTCCTTGCCTGTCCTTTTATTAGGCCGTATTCTGTACATGTCATTGATATTATCCCTCCCTCGGCACAGGTTTGTAGACAATTTGACCGGATCTGCAAGAAACTGCTCAATCGTGGTTTCAATCTCATGGAGAAATATCATGCGCAATGCCTCCGCACTGTCAAAAGCAAGTTACCGAGGAGAGAGTCAGAACGACGGAGTCATCCTCTTGCCCGTCATTGCGATATTTTGACAGCGATAGAAACGAGAATCTCTATGCTATCAATGACTTTCATCAAATATGTTGACCTGAATGTTTGCTGCTTTATTCCTGGAAAGGTATTGAACTTTTGCCTCTTGAAAAAGCTGTAAACATTGAAATGATATACAAGTATCTTCTGAATACATATAGTATATATACAGGGTGTTTTTAAAAAGGTGATTTAGCTATGTAGAATTCATTAATGTAAATGAAAAAGTTTATATAAGCATAGTGAACTGAATATAGAATATTCAATTGTAACAAAATATCCTATATTCAATATATTCAAAATACATTTCTTGTATATCTTCTAAAGAGACTTATTATAAATTATAGTATATTTAAGTAATAAATATGTTACAATTGTGTATTAGGTAATTGATGAAATTTTCCGTGTTCTTCGATTAATTCGAGAGACAAAAACACCACCTAGGGCACATGAAATACTTCAGGAGTTACGGGATATAAGCAGCATGGCCATGGAGCATTTTGATGAAAAAATTTTGCCAGATCTGAAGCATAATATTTGCACATCTATGGTTGGTACTGTGAACTCATATGATCTACCTGGTGGTGTTATGATTTCTCATGGTAGAAATATAAATAATTCTGCACTGCCACATTGCAACAATCATAATGTGAACTGCTTTGAGAAGCTTAATCAGACTTTTAAGAAAATTAATGATCGTACAAAAAGGAATAAGATATTCTTCCTATCTGTAAGAAACCAAATGGGTAAAATGAAATTTAGAATGCAAAGACAAGAATATCAGATACGGAAGCAAAATCTGAGGTTACATAAGCAGGCAAAAAAGATACATGATCAAGATGTGCAATTAGCTGAGTTGCGAAAGCATCTTGAAGAATGGGAACAAAAGATGGTCGATTTAACTACTGAAGTGAGTCGAGCGCGAGAGGGAACTCAGAATCCTGATTCGTTAGAAAGTCGCAAGCGGAAAGCACACATAGACATTATCAACACTGATGCCGAGACACTTCAACAAACAAACGAGTTGCAGGCCAGGAAGCGTAAACTTATAGTAGAAAGAAAAGTATCAAGTGATGCGCAAGATATGAAGTTTAAAAAATTCATGTCAGAATTACTGGGAAAGAATATGTTAGATGGTTACTTCGTTGATCCCTCATGTCCACGTTGACTCGACTTTTTTACATCAACACTTCTAGTATGAAGGTTTTTGCAGAATTATTATACTCTTTATATAATACATTTTTCAATTGTTATAACAAAATAGAAGTAACCAAAATGTACATCTTGTATATCTAAATCTTAATGTATTATAAAAACATTTTTATTTTTAAGCACTGATTAAAAAAATTCAAATGAAAATTAATATTTTTATTTAATTAAATTGCTTTTTATTCTAAGAACAACATCATACATAAACGAATGAGTTGAGTTTATAGCGCTTTACTTAAAAAGATTAACAAAATAGACTTTGATAAATGCTATGTAAATCTTATCCAAAATATTTTATTGTGCATTTATTGGTGAACTGAAGAATAAAGACAATAAACTATGTTGCAATAACATAATAAAATATATTTTATTAAAATGTTTTAATAAACATTATTTTTAAACATTTTAATAAAATGTATATTAATATGTGATATGTATTCATTAAAATAATATGTCATTTAATAATATATCATTTTAATGAAATGATAACTTGAAACATTGAAAGACATTGATCTTATTTATAATGTTATACAAAAATTCTGTAAAGAATATAACTAATTTTGTTATAATTAAATATAAAATTATGTATAATCCCTGACATATGAAAGACTGTAATTCATATTAAATATTGATCAATATATAATAATTTAGCTTGTATTATTTTATCACCATTTCATAATTCTATAGATCTAAAAGAAAAAAAAATACTTGTCGAAATACAGTATATATATATATAGACTGAATTTATTTGCATAGATATAATCAATTGTTATTGGAAAGATAATATGGGATAATAATTTAATTAATGGATAATAATTTAATGTAGAATTTCAAGATGTATGATGGAAACATTTTATAATAAATTAGAAGATTAATATATTTATGAATTTGTATTCACATAATTAGGTATGAATACGTTCACCAAGTTTCATAGACAAATTTTATGTCACTTTTTGCAATACATTACTACAATTAATAATTTACTTTCATTATTCGAATTAATTATTAAAAAAATATAAAAATTTTTATAAAAAACCAAAGTAATATTTCAAATTACTGAGCTTTCGTAGAAGAATCGTTTTGTGAGTCGATTTCTGAATCTACTCTCGTTTCATCTTCTGTTTCGCGGATCGGGAGTTCTATTTCTTCTGCCTCAATATCTTGTTCCTGGAAAAATAAACAAATTTTTTTTAAATGCGTGTGAAAAATGAATGACATAGGTTGATATGATAGATCGTCAATCTTTATCAATAATTTGCATATCTACATTTTTTACGCAAGCTTCTTGATCCGTGACTTGTGATGGTTCGACAGATGGCAAATCCAAAATTTTCTTATAAATTGATAAATATGCATTTTTCATATAACTTTGTAGTTGGTCGCGAATTTTTCTTCTTGTGTTATATTTTTCCACTACAGGTAAAACAAGATTATAAATCATGTCCGCTATCAAGTCCTCGTCTGCCAAATTATCGGCGCTACAAAAATATTACCATTTTACATGTCGTTTCAATGAAATAATTTTTATACTTATTAATTATTAATACATATCTTACTTTTCTATGGCATCCATTTTGTTGCAAAGCTCTGGGATGTGTTCTTTGGTTGCTTTTTCGGATATCCAATCAATTCCTTCCCTTATAATATCCTCCAAATAAGCTTTTACCGAGTCCTGATTTATTTTTACAATTTGTTTGAACATTTCATCAAATTCTTGTTGTCGATTATGTTCCAGCTGACGTTTGTCCTCAGCGGCTTCTTTCATACATCTTTCTCTTTCGGCAAGCAAGGCAAAAGCGTGAGCTTTACGTTCGTCCTCCAATCTCACCAACTCCTGTGGATGATGAGAGAAATATTTATTATTTATATTCGAATGAACTATTCCGATAAAAATTACAAAACTTACTTTGTTGAGGAAATCTAACATCCCACGGACTGTCTTTCCTTCTAAAGAATCAAGAATCTCACGTAAACGGTCTTCATGTATTAATTGATCTTCCTGTATTAATAAACCTTCTTCTGTTTGATCTTCCTGTATCACTTGATCTTCCTGTATCGTTTGATCTTCCTGTATCGTTTGATCTTCCTGTATTGTTTGATCTTCCTGTATCGTTTGATCTTCCTGTATTGATTGATTTTCTTGTATTGATTGATCATCCTGTAATCGCTGCAAATTGATCATATATGCATGTTCATCATGGTTTTCCAGTTGATCATCATGGTTTTCCTGCTGTTCGAGCGCCTGAGACAATTGCAATTCTTTGTATCTATTGCTTGTTCTTTATATATCGGTAAAATATGCAGTTTTATTGTGCTTTCTATCGTTTATTGTGCGATAAAAGCATAGCTCATTAGGATTTTTATTATGTTTCTTCGAAATACACATGAATAATTTGATTTATATTTTACCATGTGTTGTATCGCTCTGCCTTTAATCAATTTCTGAATAAATATAGCAGGCTTCTCCTGTTGTGTCTGCTTATTATTCCATACATCCGACCTGTGTGGTGTAATAGGTAAATCCGGCTGTTTGTGATTACGTTTCGTTAATGTTAGACCTACATCTACGGATTTAACATTCATCCGAATGGCTTTCAGATCAGAATGAAGCTGCTTCAGTTTTTCCTCCGTCCATCTGGTTTCTCGTATGCAAATATCTCTCGGTTTAGGCCCGCGTTTAGTCGCTTTCGATTCTTCAATGGCCGACAACCAACTGAGCGTTGTATCTTCTTTCTTTTCTTTCTCTAAATAAAAATTGCAAGGAGATAAGTAATAGCAATTAGTAGTATTAATTATAATCGAATGTACTCACGCTCGATATGGCATTCGCTTAAGAATCGCTCTTGCGAAAGAATTTCATGTCGTCTCTGAGGATATTCACCAAAACGCATTTGCAACGCATACAAATCAGATCTGGGATCAATGTGTCGTTCGATTATATCAGGTTTATGAGGCTTCTGCCTATCGTGATGCTTTTTGCGTAATTTTCGCAGATCTCGCGTAAGATTATGTCTAATGGTCCTAACTTGGTTGTCCCGACGTTTCCTCAACTTGTTCTCGAGTCTACTGAAACGACCCTGCACTTTCTCTTTATACTCCGACTCACGACTTTGTAGAAGATCCCTCATCAGATTCAGACGTAAATCCATTATGAACTGAATCTCCTAAAGTAAGATATAATTAAAAAAAAAAAAAAAAAACGGATGTATTAAGTAGGAGATTTTGATTATGTAAGCTACATTAGTTAAAGGAAGATAAAGTACAATTATTACGTTACAGAAAATTCTTCTTTATGTCTTGAAGTACTTACCGACTCCCGAAATGCCCATTCGTCTATCTCTAAAGCCGTTATTATCGAATTTCTCATTTTTATGTTGGCCGCTGTATCCATCGGTGGTAGAACAGCCTCCCAAGCTCTTTTCATTCTCATTCTATTGATCACATGCACTTCATGGATACCCGCGGGTAATCCATGCTTCCAAGTAAGATGAGCCAGCGTCAATATTTCCGGATTGTGTCCTGAATGAAAAATTAAAATATCTTTATTAAAGTTCTCTCTTGATTTGAAGAACATTGGCATCTTCATCAACTTTATCTCTTCCTCGTGATTTTCTTTCAAGATTTTAATTTTTTAATTGATTTATTCAATCAAAATATAACATATAATTACAATTGTTGTTATATTAATGTAATTCACAATGTGATTTTTGTTACCTGAAATAATTTTGCATGGTGGCTCCCAAGGTTCGGTTTGCGCCTCGCTCTCTCTGTAATCCGTTTGCGTTTCTGCATTTTTGTATGGCTCCGATTTAGGGGATGCGGTGTAATATCGTCTCTGTACAGTTTGTAGAATTTCACTTAGAGCCTTGTGTTCCAAACAACGTGGAGTGTCCGCAGTTTGTATTTTCGATATAACCAAAGGTTTTCGAAAATGCTTACATGTATCTCCGCCAATGATTCCGATTGTTTTACCTCGTACAGCCATTCTTCTGTAAGAATTGAAGTTTTTCGATTAATCTCTATATAATAAAAGAATGATATCTAAAATTTATGAGACTCAACGAGGAGTCGAAACAGAAAAAAACCATTTTTAAAATAAAAATGATAAATGAAGGCTTACCCAAGATTTAAAGAATAACTGCATAACTTGTATCGTCTTGAGCAATCATTCCTGTAATCTTGAAACTTTCTATCTAGATCTTCAGAACACTTATTTGTCTTCTGAAATATGAATGTTGGCAAATTTATTAATTGAGGAGAAGCTGCAATATATTTATTCAAGATCATATTAACAAATACTTACAAATAAACTGGTTTTTTGAGCATTGGAGGATCTGAAAGGACGATTGTTGCTACTGCATACAGTGTAAGTGTGGTCTGCTAACGCATCATCAAAAAATTGTTACTTAACAGTTAACTGTTAAACTTATATGACATATATATCTTACGACATTTCACGCCTCCTTTCGCCATAATTTGCAATGTACTTAATTGCGACTTATTACTTTATTTAAATTATCTTATTCTTTCGAAAGTCATAGGAATAAAATGTCTGTCACGTCCGAGTAACCGTCTTGATAATCCAATATCGATCAAACAGTATTCCATAGCAGCAAAAATATACGGGAAGAATAAATGTCAACATTAATAATTGATTAATGTATATTTTATATTTTTCGGATACTTGTGTTACACTTAACAGTGATCAAATGTTTACATATGTTATATCCTGCAAACATAATGAATCTTTAGAAATAGCAATATTATTCATAAACTTTATGTAATGAATTATTCTCATTTTCTATGGGAAATACGTATAAGAATTCATATAAATCAATATCAGGAACATATCTTTTATCTTAGCTTCATATAGATAATTTGTATCCGCGGATACAATTAACATACATTGGTATTAGACTCTATAGTTACATAAACTTCGATTACCAATATGTAATAACATATTATATATGTATATATATGATTAATATTTTAATTCATATGGATACCTCATAGACATTATATTTAAATTATTATTAATATAACATATATTTTCAACATTAATTAGAATAACAATTTCTATACAATTGTAAATTGTGATAAAATTCAAAATATATATTTATAAACAAAACTGAAATTAGCTTTGGCACGTACAATTATCTTTTAATTCGCAACTACATTCTATAAAAATGTTTAATTATCAGTAAATAATTAATAGAAATTATAGTTACATAGTGATTTTTTTTTAAAGTAGACAATAAAAGTTTTAATTGCAATTGCAACAATAATTCTTATATATACAAATACGTATATGTTTCCTTTCATAAAGAAAATCGCATATAAATGTTAATATAAATTACTTTTATATAACAATTGATTAAAATTACGATCATACTGTATGCTTTTACAAACAGTGCGCTTTTTGAGAATTTTTTAATTCCATTAATCATTAACGATTCTATTAGAGAATATTGCAATAAAAAAGTTTTCTTAATAATTCATTCAATAGGATCTCGTAGTTTCTTTAGACATTTAATCTGCGTAATGGTTTAAAATAACCATTTCCAAAAGAACCTAAATGCTCAGGCCAGCTCTGATGTAACGAAATATTTTTGCATGTTTGATTAGGTAACATATCTTCTGGGCATACGCATTCCAACTTCATTCTGTATATTGTCATTTGACCAAACGCAAATCTTATTTTGATATTTTCTCTATCCATTGATTCTTGATACAATCTGTAATCAACATCTCGTTCGGATAAGCAGTCACTTATGATTTCACTTTCCTTCATATATCGTAATTTATTCCCTAATAATGTTTTCTTTCTACGAATGCACTCCTGATCAGCTTGAGATAAGATCACAGGCGTCTCGGATGACGGCAGCCAGAATGTAGAGAATACTAAGTCCACTGAAGTTTTTTCTGTGGATTCAGCGATAGATGGTAAGAGAATACCGGTTGGCGGCTGCATCTGAATACCATTAATACCGCTCGATCGATCATCAGTTCCGGAGTTTCGTTTAGTTCTTCGCCTTTGCCGTATTTTAAAATCTTTGTCGGTTATCGATGGCTTTTTTCTAATCTTGTCTTTATTTTGATTTTTCAATGATTCTCGTTTAAACACCTTTTCTATACTAGCGTCATCGTCCGCGTCTTGGACAATGTTGGAGAAAATAGGTTTATAAATCTGTCTTCGCTTTGCCACATCGATTTTCTTAATAGCAGAAGTTGTATTTTGATGATTGATGATTATTTTTGTAACATTTAATGTTTCAGTACGTGTGTCTTCTGGCAATTCAGTATTTATATTCTCGATTTCTAATTCGCTTGTGAGAACTGATGTATTTAATGCACTCTGTGTTGTCCTTTCGATATTTGAATCATTGTTCGTCATAGTTGATGACAATTCATCTTCAAAACTTGAAGTTGACGTCATAGATACATTCATTGTATCAACTTTGTTCACCGAGACATTTTTTTTATCATTAATTTCTTTAATTTTTCTCTTTTTTCCTAGATTAATATTCTCAATGTTCAATCGCAAATTACGTTGGATCAATACAGGTGTCGAGTAATTGTTAATTTCTTTGGAGATGGGTCCTTCACGAGAAGTATTCATCGAATCTTTATCTACACTGATGATACTCCTCTGCTCTCGCATTTCAGTTTGCGGATAATCGCTCTCTTGTCCATCTTCGTTATTACCATTATCACTTCCGTATAGACCATCGTATTCTTTATCCGACTGTATATCATCTTCTGTCCATTTGTTACTATCCGACTTCCATTCTCGATCTACATCTAAATTCTCCTCGATATTATCTTCAGGATTGTGTTTCTTATGGCTCTTAAATTCATCAAAATTTTCGTATACCGCAGCCGGTTCATATTTACCAATCTCTTCGAGTAAATTATTTTTGTGCTTAAAAATACTATTTTTCCGGTGATTCTTATGGATTCTCGGTGATCTTTCGGAAACAAGCGGTATGTTACGTAACTCGTTTGAATTATTGAATTCCACTGACTTCCATTCCTCTGAATAATATAATGATTGTCCGGGTGGACCAACGTGTTGACTCAGGGCTAACAATCTCATGGTGAGCGTTGAATTGAACCTCAAACGACAGAGATCGATGCGCGTTTGTGATATAGGACTCTGACCTTTTAAAAATTGATATTTCTCCTTGACACCTTCATAGTTTAAACAGTCAGTGGACCAATGTAAAAACCAATCGTTACCGAATCCATCGACGGTGATTGACAATCCAGACATTTGTCCACTCAAGCTGTCCTCCATCGGTTTTTCGAGCAAAGGTTGTCCATTACGACCGTCTACGACTGTAGCCACAGTATAATAGTACGTGGACAAACCAGCGCCTATCTGATGCTTCACCATAAAGTCTGGTATATCGTCGTCATTATAATAACCGGGAATGGGGATGCTAATTACTTCAGAGTCGGGGACTGTATAATTCCAAATAGGCTCAAATGAGGATCCATTGTATGCTATAATTGTAGAATTGAACATAGCGGCGACAATATCTACGATTCCATCTGACGTAATATCGATTAGGATCGGTGGCAATAATGCACCTTTATTGGTATTGTAACTGAGCTTTCGTAATTGCTGTAACAAAAATATCCAAAGAAATAATTAATGATAATATTGAAACTTAATATAAATTTTCTGCGTTACACGATTACATACCAAATCACCATAAAATACATTAGCTTGAGACACTATGTACAATCCACCAGCATCTTGCTGACTGGTTGTAGTCAGAACAAATATGTTTTCTCCATCGGGATGTACCATGATTTGCGGTGCTATAAATAGCTGTTCTGTATCTGGTAAATTAATACTGCGTATGACATCTCCACTTCTTCCCGATATCATAAGTATGTTGCTCGTTTGGATATTATCTGATTGCACAACATGCGATGCTGTTATGTCAGCAACACTATCACCATCCATATCAGGTATAAATCTTGCATCATAAACATCCAAAATTCTCTGTTGCTCCGAAGACATTGCTGGATCTTGAATTGGTATCTCCCATATCTTAGAACCATCGTGACCATGAATGGCTTGCAATATCCCACCACGTCCAGATATGATACAATCTTTGATATTGTCGCTCGTCAAATCTGCATCACAGTGAACAGAAAATATTTTATGGGCAGTCCAATGTGTCCAGATGAGATCACCTGTTTTTCCGTTCAATGCTAGTACACCACCTAGACATGGTGTTTGATTCCCGAAATATATAACACAGGCATATTCCGGATCATCCATTATATCCACATCTGAATTTGTAAATTAATAACTGTTACAATGATTGATTAAATTAACAATCTAATCATAAAATAACATTTATTATTCACCTTAGATTGTTAAGAAACATGTAACTGTGAAACCAAAAGTCTGTAAGAGGCAAACAAAATAAAAATAGTTACTTGAAAATCACAATGCAACATAGTGTATAATGGCATGTAGAAAACAAATTGCAAATTATAAACATTATACAAAAAAAACCAGGAAAATATTGAAATAACCAATCACAAAAAAAAGAAAACATTTGTACAAGTCTACATTCATTCTCTACCTGTGCTAAATCCCACAATAATATCTTCAATTCCATCAGAGTTAACATCATTACTTCTTAGTGGTGCCTCAGATGTTAACTTTGGCAATGATCTGGCCCACAAAACTTTGGATGAGAGAGAAGTACAGGAAATTATCTTCGATTCATTTGTAGTATTTGTTGACTCATGCGATAGCCAATTTTTTAATATAGTTAACGGCATTGGAAATATATTCGCAGTAAATATACAGAGTATAATTAAGCCTAATACTATAATCAGCGCTGTAATTCCATAGCACAATGGCACAAGAAATGCCTTATATGGAACCTTGTGGTTCTGAAAGCTGCAGGATTTTTTGCATTTTCTGCGAGGTGCCATCAAAGGCCGTTTTACTCCGCCATCGTCGTCTAATTTCAATCCACCGTTTCTGCCATCCCTTATGAACACTTCGTCATCAATGTCAGTGAGATCATCGTCATCCAAATTGTCTCTGACCGCCAGTTTTGGCAGAGTCGGATATACCGCTGCCATTCTTTACACCTACAGAATTTGAAAGTCAAAAGAAAACAATTCACAGACTACAAACCGAATAATGTTAACCGGGCTGAAGTATTAGCAGAAATCTTGCGAAATTAAAAACATATATGTATACCTGGAAATGTCTAACTTTTTAAATACACTCAGAATATGCAGAATATACGCTCAGATATATGCTTTTTCAAATATGACTTCAATTCTCACGCATATATTCTTACCGATTTTCAAGAAAATATCATACTGCAGTTTCTGTCGATTAAAAAATGTATACAAATAAAATATCAAGCGTATTAACACAATATTTACTCAAGTGTTTATCCAGTGTGTCACTGTAATTTTCTAGATATAATGACACACGAAATAACTAGGTCACTATATTTCTAGGGAGGTCGGTTCAGAAAATCTATAATTTGTACATACGACGGACTATATATTTTCCGGCAATAAATATCAAGAAAAAATAGATTCATATAGGTCAATCTCATTATCTCAGATAAATTAATCGGCCGATTATTCCATTGGAATTGAATAGAGATATTATAATCAAAGACTGGCCACAACTCTGATCCGCCAATCAGAGACTCTGATCCGCCATGTTTTGGCTAAATCCTACGAGAAAGAAAGAAAGATACACCATCTCACTCTAATTAATAATGTGTTTTGATTAGAGTGAAAGAAATATACACCATCTCACTCTAATCAATAGCAATATTTTTTACTTTGCATGTGCATTGATTTAAGTGTATTGTGCATGTGTATTAAACACGTGGAAAGCGTGATAATATATTATTAAATAATAGAGATACTAAAATTACAAAATATAGTCATAAATTAATTAATTATGATAAATCAATATAAAAAATGAATGGATATTCATTTTTTTACTTAAATTTTATTTTATATTGTAATAAAGTTTGTTTATAATAATAATAAATATGTATAATAATCCTTTCTAAAAAAAGATATGATATCAATACTTGCATCTTTCGAAATTTCCTCGAAGTTTATTGTTGACACTTTTCCGATGGATTCTTTCGTTACGCTAACTTTATAAATAGCTACTATCAATGTACTGATTTCACAAAGGATCGTTTTGATAATTGTGTATCAAAAAGTTAAAAATATTATAGTGTAACAGTAGTATAATAGTATTATATTAATTTTTGTTCTTGTATTGAAAAAGATAAATAGCGAAAAAAAAAATAAATAAATTTAAAATTGTTAAAATTAAAGGATATATATTAATAAATTAGTAATATAATTATGTAAAATAAAGTTTTATAAATATACACATTTTATTACCTTTAAAATGCTTATGTTTTTAAATTATAATATTAATGTTTAAGATTAATGTAGTTAATGTATTTGAAAATAAGTGGGAATAGTCAAAAGATGACGGACCAATCAAAAGTTGCCTTTTCGTGGCCAGTCTTTGATTATAGAGTCTCTAGAATTGACCAATCACATTGCGAAATAACCATTTGACCAATGTGATTGATCAATTTCAATGGAATAATTGGCCAATTAAGAGATGGCGAGAACGGCTTTATAAAGTTATAATTTACGATTTTTTAAATAATTTCCTTTTTTGAAATCATTTATTTAAAAATTGTCGAATTTTATTTAAAAATTGTCGAATTTAAAAGTTTAATTATTTGATAGTCATCCAAATAATTTCAATTCATTATTCTTACACTATGTAATTAATTGATATAAATAAATTAAATAAAATTTTTATACAAAATTGTATTATTTTTTATTATCGTTTATTATCGTTATATTTTATTGGCTGAAATGTAATCTTAAGACGATCTTAAATATAAGAACTGTCTATAAATACTGCCCTATGTTTGAAATTTAGTGAAAGTGAGAAAAAAATTTTAATACAGTCCAATGAAGGAACAGATCTTATATGTATATCCATCTTGCATGAGATACAAAAGTACTGAGAAGTGCAAGTAAACGAGTACACGATAACGAGAGAGAATAGCTGAAAAACTTCAGTCTATATTGTTTACAACCTACAGCTGGACCAACTGGTCCACGATTTCTGTAGATTGTTTCACCTGGTTTCACCATAACTCTGATAGAAGAGTTAACCTCAACATCCGTCTGCAGATTTTCTCGCCGTAAATGTATGTGACATATCTACGTGAAAGACAGTTTTGTTAAAATATATGATAATATGATGATAGAATAAATACAAAGGATCTCGTCAGAGGAGGGGCGTAGATCACAGATATTTAATTCTTAAGATAGCGAAGATGGCACTCGCTCCAAAAGATCTCTTAAAACTGATGGAACTCCTCGACGAGGAGAACCTGGAAATCAGTTTGGAAAGTCTTTGCAGTCAATTGCATCAGAGCTTTTCTAAAGAGGATCGCTTCAAGGTGGGCATGGCACTATTGCTGCACTTGCAGCACGTCGATCTGCTGCCCAAACATACTCAGCGAGTCGTAGCATTGACATTGTTGTATGATCTATACCGTGGCGAATCATTAGCTTCCACGCCTTTTGCCTCTGTATTTGTACAGGTATTGAAGCCACAGGAAGACACCAATAACGGAAATGCAAGACCGTCTAATCATACAGGTCACATACCGTTCCTATCTAATTGCGAAAAGAATTTGCTTGTCAACTTGCTGGGATACAATCAGAAAGATGTTATGAAGAAAACACCACGGCAGATCGTGGACGAATTCTCATTCGCCACTGTACCATCTATCGACCTGACCAATCTGCAATTGCAGCTAGCAGAACATCAGTCCGAACTGCCGTCGGTTAGCAGATGCGGGAATCCTATAATATTACCCGATATGGATCATTCCAAAGTGGTGGAGCATGACAAAACTACTGCGAGAAACGTGCTAGAAACCCTCACCACTGGCGATCCACCTTTATACAGGCAAAGCTACCGTCCCGAATTTTTGAGACTCGCACCACCGATTTATCATTCCATGAATGAAATAGCTTGGCTCCACGTCACGGAACCGGCTCAATTTACCATTGAATATGACACCAGTATGTGTGTATCAAATTGTGCTAGTGCGGAAGCACGTAAACTCATGGGCAAAGCTTTTAAGAATGTTCTAACACTGGCGCAACAGCAACATCTAATCAATGAGCTGGACAAAGATCCTAAGCTTGTTTATCATATTGGACTCACACCTCCTAAACTACCAGATCTGGTTGAGAATAATCCTCTAATCGCTATTGAAGTTCTACTGAAGTTGATGCAATCTAGCCAGATTACAGAATATTTTAGCGTCTTAGTAAACATGGAAATGTCCCTTCACTCCATGGAGGTTGTGAATAGATTAACTACCACAGTGGACTTACCTACGGAATTTGTACATTTATATATCAGCAATTGTATATCCACTTGCGAAACTATCAAAGATCGTTACATGCAGAATCGATTGGTAAGACTTGTTTGTGTGTTTCTACAATCCTTAATAAGAAACAAGATCATAAATGTGCAAGAATTATTTATCGAGATTCAAGCATTTTGTGTTGAATTCAGTCGTATCAGGGAAGCTGCTGCATTATTTCGGCTTCTAAAACAACTTGAGTCTGGTGATACTGGTGGACTTAATGCTCCACTCACAAAAAATAAAACAGATATATGTTAAAATATGCTATATGACTTGTAGATGTTTAAGACATTCACATCGAAAAAATATTTATTAATTGAAAGATTATCATTGTTTAGATAATTAAATTTGGTATGAAATGTGATTATTTAAGAATACATGTTTTAAATATCGTATCCTCTGTATTGGAAATCAATATTTTGTAGGATTATAAATTAAGTTTTATTATAAGTAGATGATAATTTCGCAAATTAATTATATGTAAAAAAAATTACTCAACAAGACACATCAAAAAATGTGTTTGAAGGAAAAATCGTAGGAAAATTTAAATGATTTTGATTTATATGATGTTGTACGTAAATATAAATTATTCAAAT